GATGTTTGGCGGAAGGAGGGCACGAGGCAGGATCTCACCTAATGTGCACCTTGTGAGGATGTATAACATGCCCCCTGGGAGAGAGGCTCATCTACAAAGGGGACTTTACTGTGGAAAGGAGAACAATGTAACCCAAAAATTGTAACTTCATATTAATTTGAATAAAAAAAGAAAAATAATTGCTGCATTAGAGTCTGCAGAAGTATGTGGCACCTCTCCAGAACCTTTCACCATTCTGTATACTGACTAGGCAGCAGTGAGTGGAAAAGAAGGGCAGTCAGCAGCAACTAAGACCTCTCTGGGTGATGTACATAAAGACCTATCCTAACTGTCACGGACATTTAACAAGTAAAGAACTGCCTCTGGTTTAAAGAAGAGGTGGATAGAACTACTGTTATTTCAGGCAAATGAAATGTGCCAATCTATGTGATCTGGGATGAAAGTTACAAGTTATGTCCTCAATCCCTTCAGCAAGCTGGCTGGAGCAGAAGAGGTCCACAGTTTCAAAAGGAAACCCTTCTACAAGTTGCTTAAGGAGACACGAGCATCCTCAAGGGCTCCCTGTCCAGCCTTCCCCTCTTCTTTAAACCCAACATTTAACAGTCAATATGAGAGTTTAATTGCCAGGCTTGAAAGTAATTATAGTTGTTATAATCCCAGCAACTTGAAAGGCAAGATCACTTAAGACAAGGAGTTTGAGACCAGCCTGGATAACATACCAAAACTCTGTCACTTAAAAAAAAGAAAAGAAAAGAAAAGAAAAAAATTAGCCAGGAACTATGGCACACACCCATAATCCCAGCTACTCTGGAGGCTGAGGCAGGAGGATCACTTGAACCCATAAGTTCAAGGCTGCAGTGAGCTGTGATTGTGCGATTATACTCCAGCCTGGGTGACAGAGCAAGACCCTGTCTCTTCTCTCTCTCTCTCACAAAGTTTAACTCTGTTTGTGAGATTCTCGTAACACAAAAATATTTTTGCCAAATAACAAGCTATTCACTGTAGATGCAAAGGCACATTATAAAACAAAATGAAAATTCAAGTGAAAAGTGAAAGGCAAATATATTTCAACTTGATAAAGAATAGGATTTCATTTCAGCTGGGTCCTCTTTTAGCAAGATCAAATAGAGTTTATGGTAAGATTTGTTCTACTATATCTAACTGACTACATTTCATATATATTCTATTTCTATTTGTTAAAATATTCAAGTCTTTAGAAAACAGAAAAATAGACAAATTCCCACTGAGCAGATAGTAAGATGCCACAAAACTAAAAGACTAAATTAAAGAACATGAAGCAATATTTAAATAAAAATGTGTAAGAGGAAAAATAATTTTTAAAAATGTATAAGTGAATGAGAGAATAAAGTACTGTTCACCCCTATGCAGTATTTTCCTTAAAAATATGCTTCAGGAAGTAAACAGAAAATATCTTAAGCCTATCTTACCAAAATATTTTATATTGGTAACTAATGCCTTTAAAACAACTGACTTTTGGTTAACTTTCTAAAGAGTGAAAGCTGTTAATCACCAAAAAACCCATCACAGTGATGGCAAGAAAGACAACAGTGGCTGCCATTCCTGGGCACTCCCTATGTGCCTGACACCACACTCTAGGAACTTTACATACACACCCATCTTAAACCACAAGGTGAGTGTTACTGCTCCCACCCTCACCAACATCTCACCAAGTACAAGCACTCATCTACAGTTACACGGGTAAAAAGCGGGCAGTAGCATTTTACAGAGTAAAGGCTCTTATCATTCTAACAAATTTTTAAATTTCCCTAAAACATTCTATCTACAGTGATTAGCTAACAGTTTAGTCAGAAATTCTTTTATAAAAAAAATCCGAAAGAAAGAAATTCTTTTGACTTCAAATTACTACATTTACATTAAGTATACGCTTCCAAATACTTTTAGGGAATAAAAACACACAGGCATAAATTGGAAAACATCAGATAAAGGAAAAGCACAGATTCCTATGAAAAGTAATCAAGTATTTAGAAATGTGCCGTGGTGTCACAGCTCACAGCAACCTCCAACTCCTGGGCTTAGGTGATTCTTTTGCCAGTAAGATTCTCTCCCAAGTAGCTGGACTATAGGTGTCCACCACAACGCCCAGGTATTTTTTTTGTTGCAGTTTGGCCAGGCTGGGTTTGCCCCTCTCGGTATATGGGGCCAGTGCCCTACCCACTGAGCCACAGGCGCCACCTACAGGGTATGTTTTCTAACAATGATTTGCTTTCCAAATAGGTAAGCAAGTTCCCATAGCAGTAGCATAGTAGTAATTCCATAGACAGTGACAGACTTGCTAGATGGGAGTTTATGCTGGAAAATACAGCACTTCCCAAGGGAAGAAATTCTTACTTCTAACAAAAACAATATACATAGAATCAAATTACTACTTGGCAAGTTATTTATAATTCTAGATTTTAAGAGTAGTTTTTGACTTTCAATCTGCAATACGTATTCACTGCTTCAACTAAAATACTTTTCATGAATTCTAATAAATTGAACTACAAAAATAGTTTAGGGCGGTATCTAACAATTTTGAAAGACAAATTAAAATTTCTGCCAATCATCTTCAAACATAATTTTCACAAAAATATAAATATTTTTCTCATTGTACTATAATTTTTTTAAGACTAAAATTCATTTTCAAAGTAACGCATAAGGTTCTCCAAGGCAACATCAGGTTTAAAAAAAAAAATTGAGCTTCACAAATTTGTAATCTATCAATATCATACTGTACATTCATCAGCTGAATAAAAATTACTTCCTATGGGAGATGGTTGGGAGTAGGAAGAATAGAAACTGAAAGGGTCAAGTACAAACTTCAGCAGAACTCAACAGAATCTTGAAGGAAATTTGCCACAAGGGCTGAGGGATCATCTCAGGTAATTCCTCTTGACTGGAACTTGATTGGATAACAGAGCAGTAAAGTGATTTTCAAATTAGTTGGGTCTCTATACTCACCAGGGTAAAATCAAGAAGGTTGATACACAGATTTTAAAATTCTTAACACTGTAACTAATTTTTTCTAAAGCAGTCTTTCTGAACTTTTTTTTTTTTTTTTT